ATTGTACTACGAACAACCCTAGATATGGTTGAAATATTGGGGCTGACAGGGCCCTTTTGTTCATAGGATTTTAGGATATAAAGTGGCACTCGTTAGTAGTCCCCCCGGTCTCACTAGTCTTGGGTGTAGTTCGTCCTAGCACCCCCGAAACGGTGCCTTACACTCCAGAGTCCCTCCGGTCCTACCCCAAGGAGGGACGTCTCTGGTTCTCACCGGTATCAATATTTCGTATTCCGGTTTTCCTAACAATGTCTGCCGCTTTCATTTTTTTCTTCTCCGGTCACCAGATGCCTTTATATACACTGATAGCAATGAAGAATTCCTTACAGTCTCCGAACACGATCCAGGTGATCCCGCTTTTACCCCTCTTCTTGTTTCCTTGGACTTGTCCCAACTGCTCTTTACCCCGCTCCTGTCAACCAATCCCATGCCCTCCTATTCCCGCATGCTACAAGTTCCCTTGCCTTCCAAGCTTACTCCCTAGTACGTGAGCCTTTTGCAGGAGCTCCAGAACCTTCTTCATCACTGACAAATAAAATGAAAGAAAAAAGCTCATAAGCATTATAAAGAAAAGAGTTCCAGCTCCGGAGATATCTCCGTTACCCCTCAATCCCGGGGTTGATAATGATAGGACCATTACCTTGAGTACCGGTCATTTGCAATATTCAACAGGTCCCCAAGGCTGGGTCTAGTGGTCTCTGCGAGAGAGTAATCCTCGCGCGGCACCCCCAGTACGAATGGCTGGGCATCAGTAGGGCCTGTTCCTGCAAGGAATACAATCCAGCTTTCGAAGTTTCCTTTGCGAGTTTTCATTGAATCCCTGGAGGGTATAAGAAGCAGGGGTCTAATGAAGCGAATCAAGGGTTCGCCAGGGGTGAGGAAATATAAAAAAACTCACTCACCACCGATCTATAAGCATAGGACACACGATATTGATGAGTGCTGACAGTGTAGAAATCTACCGGTTGGCACGTTGGATGGAAGTGCTGACCAAAGAGCAGAAAGAGAAGGCTCGCTTTCATTATCATATCATACTGAATCTGGTAACTGGCGCTAAGGGTGGCACAATCATGGCGCCTGCCCGTCTGTACTCTGGTGCTGGGGCAAACCGTGTGCACCGCATTCTAGCCTAGGATGCCCCGTGAGTTGGTTTGTTGCTTTCATCATAGTACGGGTAACCAAGTACCCAAGTTTATCGCCGGCTATCTATGGTTGCGGAAGACTAAACTCTAAACCAACTTTCAGACAAAAAAAGTGACGGTTTTCCTGCAACGGCAACCGTAACACTTTTTTTCAAACACCGTGTGTTTACAATAGGGCACAAAACTCTAGCTCCTGAACCCTATATGTTACCGTATCACTGGCACCCACATGAGAATTGTAGAACTATTCATATTTCAAAAAGAAAGTCCAGATCTGTATTTTTGTAGTATGGTTCTGGAAGACTAGCCTCTAAACCAGTTTTGATCCAAAAAGTGACAATTTTCCATGCAACGTTTGGCGTAACACTGCCAAGGCTTTCTGTACAGCTACTTAGGTTATCCAACCTAAACTCCTCAAGTATTTTGGAATCTATGATAGTTTAAAATCCACTAAAGGTAACCATAAGGAAGATACTCATAGTTGTTATTTATTAAGCATACTATGATAGTATAACAAATAATTATGTGGAATTTATGTATCAGATTGGATAGTAAGATAAAATCTAATTGAAAGCAAGTAGAAATAACCAGAGAGAAATATTTTAAGTACAGAAGAGACTAGTTAAGTCTTTGATTCCCGAATTTGTTGATGAGAGGAATATATCTTTTATAGTCATACCTCTTAAAATCATCACATAAAATTCATCATGATAGGGTTCTAAAACCTAAGTGGTTATGTAGAAAGCCTTGGCAGTGTTATGCTAAGTGTTGCATGGAAAATTGTCACACTTTTTGGGTCAAAACTGGTTTAGAGGCTAGTCTTCCAGAACCATACAATTAATGTTCTTATATTAAACTTCAGAAAGTGGAATGAATATTACCTGGATGATCTGGAGATATGTGTATAGTAGAAAATAAAACAACTTGGAAGGGAGATAAAATTACAAACAGACAAATTGGAGCTATAGAATGATATTAATATGTATTTCTAAATATAATTACAGTCTACCTATGGTCTCATTGTGTATTCGGAATCTGGTAACTAGAGGATGTCTTTCGAGGCTAGCAGAATTCGTAGTAAAAGAGGATCACAACATCATGACCTGGTAATATACTGTAAACCCTCGTGAAATCCACTATCTCCATCTGCCCACCCCCCCTGAGAAAGAATTAGCATTTTCCCGATACAGTAAAGATACGACGGCTAGGTGTGTATTGGCTCTTGCTAACTGGTATTCCCAATTCATTAACCTGCTGGACTAAACCTATAGTGGGATGATGGGGAGCCGCAGAGTGAAGTTTTAGGAGATTTTACGGTATTCCCTTGTCGGATTAAGATCATTCTTTTTTTTTTGTGTGAAACCAGGAAAAAATGCAGGGTGACCTCTGTCAGGCTACCTGAGTGAGCGATCAAGTAACTTCGTATCGAATCATAACCAAACTAGCTATTATCATACCCATATTAGAATGATATATTAGGACTAGGTCCTTACTACTAATTGCTGGCTCCTAATACATGATGAAAATACAAGTACATAATAATTGATAGGGTGCAGGAGGTAGAGTTTTGTGCCCTATTGTAAACACACCATGTTTGAGAAAAAGTGTTACGGTTGCCGTTGCAGGAAAACCGTCACTTTTTTTGTCTGAAAGTTGGTTTAGAGTTTAGTCTTCCGCAACCATACCAGAACAGCTGATTCTCCTCCGTTATCTCTATTTACTCCCCGTGAGGGAAGGGTGGGGACAACATAAAGTTATGTCTCGATGAGTCAGATAGGTGTTAAAGTGCGCGTGAATACTTGTGAAAGAAAACCACTGTTGCTGTCGGTCCTGGTTGTAGTTGCCTTGCTGTAGGCGATAAATATAGCTACAGGTATGCAGATGTTACAGAGTGCACACGACTTCGGGCCCATGATGGAGCAAAATGTTCTCACTGAATATCACCCGGATTTCCCCGTTTCGGTTGGTCCCCGTACGGACGGCTCACTTCGTTTTGGGAGTGCGCCCGATTATAGGCAGCCATTAGCACATGCTAGCCAAGGCCTCGGCGCGGAACACAGCCAGCCGCAAGTACAAACACCCATTGAAGCGCCGGTGGGAGTTCCCCACGCCACACTTCCTGGCCTGACCGTTCGGGCGAATGGGATCCAATTTTGCCAGGAATTCAGGGCAATTGAACTGTATGAAGGCAAACATACTGAAGGGATTCGCCACCAAGTATGCGTGACGGGTACAGGTCTCATTAAGATTTTTAGCACACCATACATTGGTCAAACCGATAGAGTTCTCTGATTAAAAAACAAAACGACCCTATTGGGCCTCTACCGGGTGAGGTTAAGGGGGTGTTTGGCACGCGGTGATTTGAAATAATCGTGATTTCGAAACATGTTTTGGGCCAAATCATGTTTTGTAATAACAATGGGGTTTGGCATGCCATAAATATTTATAGAAAGTTAAGGATACGGTTGTAAAACTTGAAGATGTTTTATTATGGGTCAGATATCATGCTTTCCGACCTGGCAGTAGTGGCAACTTGTAGTATATTAGTATATCAATGATCTCATAATCTTCATAGCCAGTAGACATAATAGGGATGTGGCTTGTTGTACTTTGTTTTTACTGTAGTGCTGCAAAAAATTGTAGTTGAGAATTGAGTTTAAATAATTTCATATATGCATAGATTAATTATAAAAATCTTTCACTTGTTTGCATATCATTTATTTAACAACATATTGCCAATAATAAATTTAACCAGCTAATAATTATATGGCTAACAAACCCTTATTCTCAAAACATGTTTAGAAACAATGGTGCTGTTTGGCATGATTGTGTGTTCGAATAAGGGTTGTTGGTTGTTTGTACACATGTTTATAAAGCATGATTTGAAATCATGATTATTTCAAATCAACTGCGTGCCAAACACCGCCTAAGTTTGAACAACGGGGTTGACATATATCCCACACCGCGATTCTACTACAACTATATTCTATCTTAAAGTACGCTTCCAAAAAGTTCCGTACGGAAACGGTTTTTACACCAAATATAGCTAAAAATGACCATTTTCAACATGACAGCCCCCAACAAGATCTCCTTGAAAACATTTAGAATTTTGATGCCAGTTAGGGGATCACTTGTCACTTAACCTCTGAAAATAGTGAGTAAGAATAGTTGGAATTGGGCTTATGATTCATAATTGTATCAGCCTTTGTGAAAGTGACCTGAAATTTTGTATGGGGCTCCATACAAAAAGGTACATGGCAACAGTATACCGCACACTTAACCAAAGTTTTCTCCATGGGTCCTTGATTTCCAAGAGCTCTGTAATATTTTCTCTATTATCCATGGGTCAGGCAATACAGTATGAAAATTTGGGGAGTTTTTATTGGCATTAGTATTGATTGAGCAAGGTGTGAAAATGGATGCTGTTGGTGTAAAAAGGCCACCGTACGAAACCTTTTGGTATAGTACTTTATAAAACTAGAGAGCATATAGTGGAAATCGATGCATATACACCCTCGGTACCATAATGACAAACACGACCACTTTTCCATGCTTTTACGCTCTGTTCCGCCGTACCCCCCCTCCCGGTACGGCCCACCACCGTGTCTCCGGTACACCAGGAGAGCCAAGCGCCTATACCCAGTGGGCCTAATGACACCCAGGAAGCAGCTGAGAGCTTACTTCAATTCAGCCACTAGGGTGGGGAGCAATAACTCGAGAAAAGCCTCTCTTACAGACACAGACCTGCTCTGGCCTGTGGGGCTAGAACCTAGGTATATCTCATAATATGGTGGGCAGAGGACCCGACCTTAGATCGCTGTCGTGGGCTCCCTTCACGCACTCTTTACCTTTGCTACTGGAGAAAAGGTGAGAGGCTACATAGGACGCGCGGCGGAAGGCTTAACACAGCCATCATTCCCCTCCGCCACCATCCCGACCCTCCTCACCCAGCCAACCGAACTGCCCACATCCGCCACCCCCAACCCCTCATAATCCTCAAAGGTTATGCCTGCCAATCGGAGACAGTATGTTCCATCCTCGTAATAATTCCTTCTTTCTCGCCTTGCTCTTTGCTAATGTTTTACGGAACGTACCCAGCCCTGCCTCTCCTGCCGTCTCTAAGGGCAAGGATAAAATGCCGCGTGGACGTACACGGACAAAGCAACAGCTTGCTCCTCCCGAGCGGGCACAAAAGCTCAATACTACGCGCCGCAATTCCGATGCCATCGCCATTTCGACGCACGAGAGCGACAACAATTCCGACGAGGAACCTAAGCCTCCCAAACGTAAGGCCCCCCCAAATACTCTTGTCGCGGTGGAGACAGTCATGATCTAACGATGCGGTGCACCTAAGGTCGCCGTCGCAACGAAAGTCTCCAGGCTTGCAGGTATCGCAAATCCGCTACCAGGGCTAGACTCCCGCCCCACAAATGTAAGTATTTCGGTCGGTTTATCACCCTTTCCGACTTCAGCCAACCTAACGGCAGAACCATTTAGTGCCCCCTCTCCACGCCCGCCGCCACGCCATCAACAAGAAAGTGGATCGCTTAACCCGCCAGCTCCAGGATGCCGACAGGCGCGACCGCAGCGCCAAAGATGTGAGCAAATGGTGCACCGAGCGTAGCGATGCAAGTGCTGCCGTCACCAAATTCATTGCAAGATACTACCTGGACATGAATCTGATCACCTCGCCCGCACGACTCAAATTTGCCGAGGCTTGTGTTAACTGCCTCAAACCATACTGTGGCAATCGGCCTACGTTTGATGTTTGCGATGCCATGTGGCGCATGCTTCGGGCTTTGGAGTTAGACTTGGAGACGGCCAAGGGGTGCGGTATCGACACCCTGTTTAAGGACTGGCACAACAAGAATATTTATTGCCAGCATGTGCGGAAAATCGCGATGCAGGTAGAGAAGCGTCTCATGGATATGCGTTGTGTGATAATAGGAGAGGGGGGAAATTAGAGGAAGAGATGGGTGTGGATTGTCAATCACTTGCTGGAACATTTTAAGGAGTTTTACCAAACTCCGTACCACAATGCTGTATACAAACGAATTGCTTTATGCTATACATCAATTCTTACAATTCAAGTGGCCATTTTCCGAGCTAATTTTCTCCTCCCAAATATATACTGTTTGCCCATCCTTTTCTCACTTAGTAGCCAGAACGAAGCTATCGCTCCCGGCCACGGGACCCCCATTGATGTTTTCTCCAAACTATATCCACCTCAACCCCCAACGCGTGCTCTCCCTACATCCCGTCACTACGGGACACGATTTCGCTGTCCCTCCCAGCTGCCCGCGGAGCAACGAGGTGCACTCTCGCGGGTCGTGAGTTCCTTCCACCATATGAAATCAATGAACGCCCAATAGAAGGCAAAGAAAGTACTGAATTTGGACCGAGCAGGAGGCCTAGGTGAGGGAATGAATGGCAGTGCATGCGCCTCAACATCCCCGATACAGATACCGACATAAGGCTCATTCCCTACGGCTTGTACGACCGCCAAAAGGAGTCGATCGCCAGTAGGGCCCCGCGAGCAACACGGGCACCGGTGGAACTTTTAAGAGCAAAAATAGATTCCCACGCCCCCTCAAAATACTCCAGAGCGGTGTCAATCTCACTTGTACAGCTCCCGCGTAACCCATTGTTCCTATAATTCAAGAAATCACCCCATTGATTAGACTTTTCCAACTTTCTCAAAACTGATCCCCCGGCTGGGCGGAAATGGGGGTTGGGGGTCGTTTCCTGGATTTGGTATTGCCACTGTGTGGTTACTATGAACTTGGAAGTTTGTAGGAATCCAAATACCTGGCGTTGATTGGCGCCTCCCTCCCTAACTGGGCCAATCCATCCACCGTACTCAGAGCTGGCTATCAGGAGATTCGAATCCGCCGTACATCCTTACCGGGCGAGTAGTGTTATCTGGTAATATTGCAGGCGGAAAACGCGCCGAGAAAGGCCGTTCTTCGTAGCCTACCTCCTGCTCTCCTGGCCCGGTAACGCTTCGCCTAGGAAAGAGTCTCCGGCTATTTCCATGGTTATTTAGTCATATACCTCTGTGGTCAGAAACGCGATTTCAGACTGGAAGAGATTTCCCTGCTACGGTAGCAGTTCCACTCCTGGTTCATGTTGAATTTCAGGGCTCGGAAGGAGGGGGGTACTATACAGGATGCGGTGACTCCAGCAGTAGTCTTCGGGATTCTTCGGTGACGCTCGGTAAATTGGCCGTGCGGGTGGAACTTCTATTTGAAAGAACAGAACATCTGTGGATGGGGGTTGAGAGACGGGAATAGGTGTGAGTTCGTGCGGTGGTATCTGGAGTTTGTACCGGATAGTGGGATCATTTTCTCTATGAACCCCTGCTTCGAGGTAGATGCAGCGAAAAGAAAGCAGGAAATATCGGGAAATCCTATCCCTCTATTCAACTTCCTTCTCCTCAAACGCCTTCCCTCATATCCCAGCCAGCGCAGCTTGCAAAAGAACCGCCCAGCTTCCGCGATATTTGTCGAAATACTCGGGTCATGGATCATGACTGATTGTGCAGTTGCAGGTTTTCATAAAGGTCGTTTGGTAACTAGAGAGTGGACAAAATATCAAACAGGGAAAAGTGTCGGCTTTCGAGCTATTAGGCAACCACCATGGAGAGAAACAGGATAGGAAGATATTCAAAACGGAATCTGCCAAAATAGCTTGCTTAGAAAAAGTGTCATTCCCCCTCCTATTCTCGGAAAGTGGTGAAGTGTGTAATGTTCATTCCCGTGAAGTTCCTGGCAAGACATATTATTTTGAATGGGAAAGGAGCAGTACATTGCAACCGTCCTTGCCAGGTTCATATACCCAGAGTTCTCTACAAACAATGGAAAAAAAAAGCCAACATATATATATACTACTTCAGACATTTCAAACCATTTTTTAACTTTTTCAAAGTAGTCTCAAAACATCTGTGGAGTCTTCGTGGCTCGAAAACCTGCAATATTAGTGTGTTTTGGCCTCTATCTGGGTACTAAACGACCTCAAGCTGCTGTGTGAACTAACCGGGAAGCAATACAAGAGGTGGTGCACACCTATTTCAATTTGGGCTCCATGACTTGGGGGCAGTTTAGTTCGCCTTCTAAAAATTGCCTCAATGATGACTGTGCTGCTTTGCCCACTGTCGTCCGCTCGCCAAACGGTTCAGGAAGTCCTTTTTTTTTCAAAGCGGAATCTTTTATAATTCGCGATTAAACTTGAATCTTTGTCCGTAGTTTGGAAGCTGTTTCTCTTGTCCGCTGGTTTTCTCGATTCCTATCTCCCCTCCCCTTTATCTTCATGGCCAAATCCGCAGCTTTATATACACTGAAGAACCGCCTCCTTTCACTGGATACTCTTACAATGGGCCAGACTTCAATCAGCTCATATCCGCTGATCAATCAAACCCCACTTTTTCCCCACCTTTCTCTTGGCTTCTCCCCGCTTCTTATCCACCCATGTCTTTCAGCCAATCACTGATCCTTTATGAACCATGTGCTACATAATTTCCCTACTACTTCCAATCTTCCCCCGCTCCACCTTTACCCGTAACATCTCCTAGAACCTTCTACCTCTTCTTACAAATCCTCTGATAAGCATGGCAAAAGAAATAACAAATATTCCATAATCTCCAGACCTACTTCCGGTATTCCTTTCCGTCGCTCCCTATCATGATTGGAATTGGTAAGTCAATTAGAGTGCCGGTGATTTACAATAGAATCTCGGTTAAAAGGTATTGAAAGGGTGTTAAAGAGCACAATAACACAAACGGCAGCCGTTTCATATCATAAAAGGTGCAAATATCTCCACTAATTCTCGGCCGAGCGGCGTTCGCCAAAAGGGTTTTCGAAATCGTCGGACTGGAATTCGGGGTACGGAACAGCTCGACCCACAGCGAGAAAGATGGGCGATTGCGGAACACACGAGATACCTGCATGTCCTGCTTGCGACATATCGGGTTCCGGAAGTGGGGCAGAGTATCAATCCCTGTTGCTATTTGGACGTGGCGATTTAACGTCCTCTTTCCAAAGATAATATAGCCTCTATGAAATCTCGGAGCTTGAGCTGTTTTTCTCAGATTGCCCCTGTCTTCGCAAAGTATTCACTAAGTTTTTCCTGACAATCCCGTTTGATGGTGCCCCCGAGTAAGTACCACTGTATGGTAACCTAGAATCAGATAGGCCCTTTCCACTGTTGAGACTCACGTGAAGGGCCGGGATTGCATTCTCAACGATCGGGGGGGCGGGGCTGCGGTCGTCCTATACCAAATACTTAGCCAAAATTGCAATAACACTCTCCCTCTGCATCATCGATGCCAATTCTATAGCTTGCTCAATGTCACCCTTTTCAACCGACAATCCAACAGTGTCCGAATAGTGTCAGCAGAATGAAACTCCCATATTGCCTGCTCAATCACCGCCCGGTGGGCGTACCCAGTGATCTTATATTACAATGAATGAGCCCCGCTTCAAGTTCCCTGTCATCACGGAACGTGGCTTCAAATATCGCACGGTGGCAAGTTGATGGGTGGCCGGCCCGGATCACGCTGTAGAATATATTGCGGGAGAGCACAACTGACAAGCGTATCTCTGTAAGGCGGAGGGAGGCAATGTCTTTTTTCTGGAGGTGATTGGTGATTTGGAACAGGATTTCGGTGGCCAGAGTATCGATGGAAGTTGCAGTGTTGCCAGCGGTGGGGTCAATGTAGGCTAGGGGGACTCACGCCCGGGGCCCGGGGCGTGGCAGTGTAAAATATATTTTTATCCCCGCGTCTTGACCGCACTCCAAACTAACCACCAAGTGAGGTGTTAGTATTCATTATTTATCACTTGAAAAGTTATCAAGGAAATCGACGACCATCGTTGTTTAGACGAGTGCTATACCCGTGAGACCGCAGAACAGCTTTCCTGGTGCTGCCTGGGCTAGGGAACTTACTCATATTTCCGAACGGCAAGGTCCATGCTGGCGGGGAGGATAGATTCTGATGGACAGAAAGAAAAAAAAACAGCCTGATCCTGAATTCTAAATTAACCGATGACCCAGAAAACAAATGCGGGGTGGTAGATTTTGCGGATGGAAAAACAAGCTAAGTTGGGTAGCATGGAATCGGTGCAGAGGGATATTGGCGAGAAAATATTTCTCAACTAGGCACAGACCCCAAAGAATTTTTAATAGCCACTCCGGTGGATGTTTTGTCCTACTAAGTGATGGAGTAAATAATTTTTTGTAGAAATGAAAGGGGATAAAACAAATGTTCTCACCGAGGTTCCAGAGTTCAAAACTCCCGGCCTGGGGGGGGGAATTGTGGGTCCGTGGTAATCCCGGCTGATTTCCTTCACCTGGATAGATAATAGACAACCTCCAGCTGACTGCCCCGCATTCGGGCGAATGCTTTGTAGATTTATATACCATTGCTAAGTCAGGATGGACTCCGGCCTGTCCCGGCTAGAGATCAAATAAACCAGATTTCCCCTCCCCGGCTCCAGGTTCCTCTCCTGCCAGAACTGAACCAAGCAACATGACCAAAACGGACCAAGAGAGAATAAGTGCCCATAAGGCTGAGGACTGCTTCAGCGGGCGTCCCCATTCGCATTCATATACGTCAACCTCAAGGGTTTCCGTTGCCCACTGAGAGGGAGGACAGCAGCGGGGTTTGGGTGCAATAAAACAATATATGAAGGGTGAGGATGCCGAATTAAGCAGTCAGATTACTTTGAACAGGGGAATGATGAAGCCGGAGGATACTTCCACCAGTGTTGGGTCCTCAATTGAGGGGCCGAGCACTGATACCGTGCTTTCTCATGGTCCCTTTGCGGGGGAGCTTAAGGAAGAGATTGAGGGGTGCGGGATGGAGGGAGGAATTTCCCAACTCGGCATTAACGGTCGAGCCCCTGTTTTTGAAAACAATTCCTTGTGAGGGGATTCACGGACAGGGTGTACAGACCGCCCAGGGAGAGGAGCAAGCCCCGCGCGGTGGGGAAAAAAAAGCCAATATGGCGATGAAACGAGAAACTATGTATCTAAACCTTCTTGTCTAATAAATTTTCTTTTTTTAAAAAAAAACAAGCAACACCTCGCATCGCCATTGCGGTGTCAACCATTATTAGCCATTCGTGC